TGATAACTTTCAAGAACTTCATGTTATGTTAATGTTATTTAATTCCTCGATAAAATAAAATAATATAAACGTTTTATAATGATAAATTTACTAACATATATAATATAATATGCATTATGTATGCTATATAGATAGGTATATACATTATATTTTTTGTTTCATGCTCTTTTATCATTTGCAAGACGTATACTTGCGAAAAATAGTGTCTATAGTTTATGTCCAAAAACATAATATGCCAATACGAATCTAGATTACAAAGAATATTTTACTGTATTATGATGGTAAAATTAATATTGATTCCTGTAATATTAAGATGAAATCAATTGTAATTTTATTTATAATTAATAATTAGATAATTATACTTGTATACTAGTATACCAATGAACAAACATGACATCCAGATTTCACAAAATGATAAAAATTAGTCTGAAATTTTTATGTAGTTATAACGAACATAATTACAAAATTTTCTCCACAATTAATAGGTTGAATTAATTTAGTCCATTTTTGCACCATATTTAAATATTTTTTATGATATTCAAGTTTGGAAAAATGCTATTATAATTAAAAGTAATCAATAATCATTGAAGCTAATTGTTTTATTATAATTAAAAATACGTAATTGTAAAAAATATTTAATATCTCATTTAATAATTAATTAAAGTAGTTTTTATTTTATGAGAGCATTTAGAAATGTTATAAAAAAATAATTATAATAATAATAATTTCTAACATGGATGATACCATGATTGTATTAATTAAGTCATTATTTTTTGTTCATAATTTGTTTTAAAATATGAAATGGTGATGGTTTACATCGTATTAAACCACTGAGGTTTTATTTTAATGATATATTATATTATGTTAGTTGCAATTTATTTATTTATTTTATTAGTTATACGGGCTTAGCCTTTTTGACATTACAATATATATTTTTATATCAGAAATTGTACAATAAGAAAAAAGTAAGTTAAATCTATACAGCTTACATTAATGTAAAATACATTTATCAGATGACAATAATAACTTACGTTGAATATATATTTAAAATATGTTAAATCGTCGAATGAAGGCTCAGCATTGGCAAACGACATTAGGCGTCTTAAACGCTCATTAGTCATAAATAATAATAATTTTCTGTAAAATTTCAACGTAGGTTTAGACTCAACAGTTTTAATTAGCAATTAAACGTAAAAAAAAATATTAATAACTATTTGACACAGTAAGCTAGTTATTTGATTTCATTTGCCAATTATATTTATCATTTTTATAATGCATAATATATACATAGGTATTAATCCAAACTATAATATATAATAAACTGTAATATTCGTTTTGCGTTTGTTTGATTGTCTTAACAATGCATTAAAAATAGAAACTTTTTGTTTGTTCTTTTAGTACTGGGGACATAAAAAACCCTTATTTACTCTTCCCCTATAAATGACTATAATAGTTTTCTAAGTTGTATTTTTAAATCAAATTGAGATTTTTCAGTTTAATTCACTTATTGTCTTTAGGTAATTTATCTTGGTCATTGAATATTTTTAATGTGGTTATTAATATAATAAACAGAGTTAGACAACATCATAACACCATAAAAATCTTAAATTTTCTCACACAAATCAATATTGTAAATAATCTTTGACTAACATGTATTCGTAATTTAAGACTATCGTAACTTTTGAATTTTAATTATTAATGTAACTCACACAATTTAATATGTACACAAGGCTGATAATCCTAGTTGTTGAAGCCTCTTTTCTATTTCATATAAAAAATAAATAAATAAATAAAATAAACACGTTATATGTTTATTATTTGTGGATTAGCATTTAACTATTTTCTATAGGTTAGGTTTATTTATATACAATTTGTGTGTAAAAACGTTGTTTCATATTACTGAACTTATAGACATCTCCAGATATTCTGATTATTGATGATTTAAATATTGAAGATGTATAAATATTATAATTAAATGTACCTAAATATATACGTTATATCATCATATAATCGATGATTCATCTGTTAGGTATATAAACAATTAAATATGTTTCATTTTTATCGTAGATATGTGCTGATTACATCTATATTCTCGTTATCATTATAGTAGTAGTATAGTTTTAAAAATGTAAACTTCTTTCCAGAAAATTAAAATATATAACCTGAGCAAAATATAATGCCAATATAATGGAGTTTACACAAAATGCTCATAATCATCAAATGACTTGGGAACACATTTTAGTATTTGATCAATACTTTTTTAATAATCTATATAATTTATAACGTATTATACGTTATTTATTTATACGTATTACACAGAACACTTCTTAAGTAGTACAAAAAATCTCATGAATTTGAAAATATTATCTTTAATTGTAGAAGAGGTATTTATGATTCCAAAAATCAGATTTTGGATAACTTTATTATTAAAGAAAAAAGGGGGTGAGCATGCTTGGTGAACAATCCTGTATATCGTATTATAACGTATACAAACCATAAAAACTTAGAGAGATTCTTTGGTGGTTAGGTTGGAAAACCAGGTAAAATAAATAAATTAATGTATTATCTAAAACTTCATAATATAATATCACTCTGTAAAATAAATATAATTAAATCAAGTCATTATTAATTGCTTTTTGTGATTTTAGTTTATTTCAATAAAATAACATTGACTTTGTCATTAATATGTTTCCATATATCAAATCTGTTCACGGTGAGCTGATGTAAAAACTAATTATTCGTAAAATACCATTAATTGCATATTACTACTCATCGCTGTATTCATAGCTAATATAAAATATAAAAATCATGAATAAACAACATTAGTATACCGAAATAAAATAATTTTTCCATTTTATTAAAATATATTATCAACGGTAGTTGGCCTTCGATTGTTCAGTGTACGTAATTTTTAGAATTAATTTACTAAAATAATCATAGTTCCTGAAGTGTAGATCTATATTTTTCAAGCATACTATCCACACAAAACGTCCAGCTATGTACCTATATTATATATTTTATGTTATCCGTGATCTATTGTGTGTCTAATTGATTAATCTAAATTCAATTTCCATACCACTACATAGAAGTTTTTGATTGTAATTATTTTTTTTTCGTCATTTACCAAGAAATAGTGTATTAAAGTGGCCAATATTTTTTGTCTTCTAATTTTGATTTTGTATGTATAATACCTACGTGATTATAAGCATAATTTCTATCGATAGATTGTTCAAGTGGGAACATATATATTTCTTTTTCTTCTTATATATATATATATATATATATATATAAATTTCATGCTTTGCGGAATGTTATTTTTTTAATGAGGACAATGTAAAGTAAGTAATACAAATAAAATAAAACACAATGTTACTTCACCGAGGCGGTCTGATAGGCAATCATTATTGCGTAAATGATCGCTTTTCGATGCCAACGCCTTCAATTGGTTTCAGCAGAACGAAATTACATCAATATTATAAATAATTATATTTTATTACTTATGCATAGTTTATAATAAATAACAAATATGTCATGTTAAATATTCATAAAAAACTTAGGTTTATGTATACATACGAAAGAACGGACAATAATACGCGTCAATAAAAACCGTATAAATACATATAATATACAATTATGATTATTATTGGTCAAAACTATATAAATGGATTTAAAAGGAAAAAAATAAATTACTAATATGAATATTATAAGAATCGCGAAAGCAAAAAAAAAACTGTAAACGTAAATTCTTACATTATATGTAGGATCACAATATGAAACGACCTAGTCGCAGAGTGATGATAATTGTTAAAATCGTATCAATTTCATCTGTATCCAATGGTTGCCCAAAACTGATGTCTAATATTACAATAAACTGAATAAACGATGGTAAATTGGTCATATTCACGAAAATATTCTTTAAAACATAATACAAATAATTCTTCATCGATCTTGTTAGATGGAGGTTAAGCGTGTACTCATGAAAGCCCATATGTATGGGTAATTAATAATTATATTACCTATACTATTGAGACTCAAACCACTTTAATTATTTTAATATTCTAAAATAAAAAAAATGTGAAAAATACACTGAATTCCGCTTATTAAACGATTTTTCCAATCGACTTGATATTTTTCTACCAATGACCGTGTTTGCAAAAAGGTATTATAGACGTGTATTTAGAGAATGTTGTTATCGCACGTGATATTTATGATGAATTATATATTTTAATTATCAACCGATCAAATTTACAAACCATAGAGGTGAATGACGTTAATATTTTATAGTTTTCAGAAGTACAAATGTTTGCTATACGGAAAACTCAAAGACTATCGTCATGGCTATATATTATAAAAGAGGTATACATTTGTGTTCCAACAAAGCACTTGCACAATTAATCATTGGATTTTTCATTTATTTTAGGCTAATTGTTTTTTATGGCAATTCATATTTTTAGTTTCATATTTAAAATTATGATTTTAAAATGTTATTGAAGTAAAATAAATAAAATATTGAACCGATAAATATTTCAATTATTAATGATGACTGGTGTAGTAGGAACCAAATATGATCGTAAAGTGTCCACTAACACGCCATTCATCTAAAACAAACTTTAAATAATTATAAATAATATATAAATTCAGATATTCGTAGATACAAATTTTTCACAAAAATAGCATTCTAGTAAGGTTTTTAAGAACATGAACTATGAACTAAAAATAAGAGTTACCATTAGAAAGCGTTTTTAAACAAAGTCTAAAAAGGAAATTCTTAAAAAATACTAAAACTTTGTTCTTTTCTATTGTTGCAATTCATAAGCACCTAGGTACTATTCAAATGATACAAAAAGCAATGTACGTAACACTGAAATTGACTAAGAAAATGAGTACATTATGATTAAAAAAATCATTTGTGCGGTAAGAACAATAATAACGCCCATTTATAATATAACATTAAAAATAATAATTTATAAATGTATAACACAGTAGACTGAAGAAAAAAACCGAAAAATTATAAAATTACCTGTAGCAGAAACGTTCCAAGACATTATAATAATTTTAGGGGGTGATGGTTGGTGTTTAGTGACTTCGGGGATGGCAAATGATACATATGAAGCTTATAGCTAAACTATAACGGTTGATGTAGTATGATGTAGAGGTGGAGATGAAAGTTATTTTGTGAAAACCGAAGGGGTAAAGTGGTGACTAGTTTGACGGACACGCGCGTTCGGATGACGTCCACCCACACCCACCCACTTCCGGGCGGATATCCACGAATGTGTTAAATATATATAATATAAATGTTTCATATTCGGTAGCCGGAAGTTGTGGTGAGGGGATGTCGTTGATGAGTGAGTAGTGCTGGTGATGGTATTGGTATAGGTAGGGGGTTGATTATGATTGTGGTCGTGGTGTCGACGATACGGTCTTTAGGTAGCCCCATGATAGCCGTGAGGTTCATACGAAGGGTACATCTGTTGAAGTGGCTGTTGTGAAGAAGGTGACATGACAGCTGTAGCTGAGGCAGCGGCAGTCTGTCCAGCGTAGGCGAGGAGATGAGCGTTTCGGTCGTCCTTGTCCGACGACCAGTCAGCCTGGACTATRGATCCACCCCCGTATCCGCCACCGCCTCCGCCCTTAAACTTCTTGAGCAGCATGAGCTTGGATATTGTCAGTGATACGACGGCCAGTAACAGGGCCTTGAGCGCCTTGGCACCAATCATGACCATGGCCAGCGGTCCCATCAGCGACAGTTTGGCGCACATGATTACGCCCAACATTGACATCATTTTCTTGAGATGTTTCAATTTGGTCTTTTTGCCGCGGCCTAGATTGCAATGAAAAAAAAACACAGATATATATCACACGAAAAACGTAAGTGAGGTGAGAATAAATGCCTAGTAAATATTATGAACAAACGGAAGGGAAAAAAATCGCGCGAAAAATATATATAAATACGTGGATGGTGGTATTATAATGATACGGCGGCGCATTCCGGCATTGTTATCGTTGTCGTCGTCTTCGTCGTAAGATAATAATATTATTTTACTATTATAATAATAACGCGTTGTATACATTATTATTTATTATGTTTCAGTAATTGCGCGTGCGGTGCACCGGTCGGTCGCGGCCAATTGGACTGCAAGAGTAATTACGCGCGCGCATAATCTATACAAATATAGGTACAGGTATGCGCCGCCGATTTGAGGAGTCGGAAGTCGGCTAGTAAGTATAACGTGCTGGTATTGTTAATGTATAGTATACACCGTGCATTATAATATACCACCAACGTTATTATAATGAAGCTATCGCCCAATGACTCGTGACGACCACCGTCGTTTGATTAACCCGTTGACCTCAAACATTTTTCCWAACATTCTGCACCCGGAGAGAAAGAGATAGAGAGASAGAGAGACGTGCGTAGAGGAAATATCTTCCTCTCGCAGCTATTCACCTCCGTGCACTATAACAATATATCATTATAGCAATATATATATTTATTACCTATATATTTATATTATATTAATTGTGACTATAGGACCCTTTTGTGATAYACACGCCTATCGCAGGTCGACTTCCGTTCATAAGTAGGTATTTGCYCGGAAAAGCGAACCGGCACTTTCTCGTTAATATCATCGCAAAAATCGAAAATATGCTGTCGTACGATCGTGAGTATTCGATCACACTATAATAAAGTATGTGACGACCGCTGTCATTTGACTAACCCGTTGACCTCAAATATTTTCCCGATATTTATAAGACCGAGAAAGGAGAGATATACACACCCACGTRGAGGAAATATCTTCCTCTCTCGCAACTATTTGCCATCTTGTACTATTATTTATGATATTTCAATATCATAATATTTTCATTTCATTTATGGTAAATATAATAAGTATATAATATAACAGCCCGTGGCCCAAATTCAAGAATAATATACAATATGCACTTATACATAATCTCAACAGAAATAAGCAGAAGGGTAATTACTATCAGTACACATCATCCTGAACACATCGGTTTATTATATGGGAATAATGTTGTTGGTGCAATGAAGTATGAAAAAAGAATAAATTTATCACGACTAGAACTTGGGGATCTTGAAAGTAAGCTTAATTAGTACTTCCAGGACAATCAATGATTTTTTAAGAAACACTTGGTTAGCAGAAATATTGTACCATATTATATCCAATGTATATTAAATTCGACATGAGCCTCATTGTGTGACACGCTGCACCTATTGCCGGTCGACTTCCGTTCAATGTTTGCTCGGAAACGCGAACCAGCGCTTTCGCCACAAAAAACGAAAATATACGACAACATTGTTGTCGTACATTCTTATAGTCTATCGCACGATATAATATGGGTAGGTAACACACACCGATGCGGTAGACGGTCAATTATCCGGACATAGCAAAATAACAATTGCGCTGCAAATCGGCGCAACTGACGTGAAGCGAAAACAACAATAACAGCGATAATAACAATTATAATATTATTAGAAATGATCAACACCACCGCCGATCGGATTTGTTTGTCGGGACGCTGCCGGCACCCACTCAGATCGGCTTCATCCGTCCTAATGAATTATACACGGTATACCCATTGAAAAGATTTACCTACCTACCTACCATAATATTATAATTATTATTTTATTGTTATCGTCTATACAGTATTGTAGACTATTCGGTAGAGTGTTTACACGATTTATAGTCTTATAGATATACAAGCGTAGTGCGTCAAAAACCGTATTGTCGTTTTGTTATTTTCAGCTAAAATCTTGCGACTAACTGCTACTATGTCGTTATYTGTACAAGACTTTGGTACAATAATAATAGGTATAGAAGTTTTTGTTTAAGAGGAGAAAAATGAAACCGTTTTCGATCGGTCGTGTTATAATAGTGCCGTTTACAAATAAGACGTATCAAGACATTCGAAACCAAGATCGTGATGAAAAAATAACAGTCGGAAAATCGGATGCGAATTACACATATTATTACGCTCCAATATAATAATTAATAACACAGGCGTGGGACAACGATGATATTGTGTTCACGCTAAAATAATTAGCCATGTATACAAAATGGTTAAATTTTGTAAACAGGACGTTACYTATACATACATATTTTGTTATTTCTATCCAACACACGTACGACATTGAAAATCTTCGTTTACTAGTTTCAATAGTGTGCTGTTTTTATAGGTAWTAGAGTGAATTTTCCTGTTGTCAAGGTAAGAACATTATCTGCGCTTAAGCGTCGGCTTTTATTCGATATTTTAATTTTCAAGCGAAATATGAGAATTTTAAAATGTTTTGATGTTTCACTCACCTACTCTCATTATCTTGCGTGAAAATTAAAACATCGAAAAATTTACCAACGCTCAAGTACAGTCAATGATCTTACCTAAAAGTTTRATAACAGGTAATATTACTCTAATATATTAAAACTAACAGCACATTATTGAAACTAATGAACAATAATTTTGCATGTAATATATTATGTTTGTAAGACGGAGACAACAAACGCATGGTGTCATCTAGTCCTCTCAATGGTAATGCGCTATAATAAAAGATGCATTGAACGAATTATTTGTATCATCAATTGGCTATTAGTTTCAGCTTCACACACTTAGAAATTATTTAATTGTTCAGCTTTATATTAGCGATTTACTATACGGTCTTTTTTTTTTGTATATTATCAATATTTATACATAACATTAATTATCATTTATCATAGTTAATAATATAAAACACCATAACGAGACCTATATGGAATAATAATAATGTATAATACAAAAATAATAAATTATATTCGCAATTTTATCTTCAACACTGACAAGGCGACATTGAAYCGCATTCAATGTTTTAATAAGCGGTACTTTAAAATGACAAATATGGGAAGAAAATTGCCTTTATCGAACCAATCTTTAAACTTTTAACTATTTCAATATACTATTTTATGAAAGAAATGTTTTATTTTTAGATTAATTTTATAATAGCACAAATAAACATTCAATATCCTACCATTATATTTACGTATAAAGGAAATTTAAAAATCTTGTTTTGTCAATATACGTATGCATATAATGGAATAAGTATACTTTTTTAAATTATTAATTGACTTTATTTTTCAAAAAAAAAAAACTAACTCTAATTTATAATATTATTATACAACTCTTATTATAATAACTTTAATGTATAATACTATATTATTCTATAATTTTGTTCATTCAATATGCTCTTTTACTAAATTAGTTTCTACTACAAAATATATTTATTTGGAAAAGAATAGGTTTTGCTTACACGTCGAAATAATTATTTTAAYTATTCTGTGGTAGTTGCGGAGTATTTGAAGGTGATCGATGTTTCTGTCTAACCTAACGTTAACGCGAGTGAAATTAGTTTTAACTGCTTAAGCAACCGCAACTCACGGGCTACCGCCAAATTACTATATTACTACTACGCACGCAAAACACGTAAATTGATTCATAAGTTATTTTCCAAGGTTTGACTTTCAAACTTGATAGACGTTTCTAAGCAAATTTCAAAACTTAACCCTCTATTTCTTCCCAGAATTCCGAAAGCTATATCCTTGGAGTGTAGGTATGTACATATTAAAAACAGTTTTCATTATGTCAATCTTCAGAGTAATAATTGTTGTTGGGCTTATGGTTTTAAATGCCGAATGGTCAGAAATAATTACTGATGGGTTACTGAGAAGTTTACAGCTCAAAAGCTACAATCGATATCAGTTAGCAGAAATTATTTGTATAGGTAGCTACTTAAAGTCTGTCTATGCGTAAGAGCAGAAATACATAAATATTTATATATTTGAAATTGCGTAATATAAAGTTATAACTAATAATATCATTATGTATACCTATAATAATAATACAAATTATATAGTWATATTATTTATAATATGTCCATAGTTCGCAGTAAAAAAGAATGACGAGATCCATTTCGTAAGGAATATTATGYGTATGTGTATTCATTGTGAATGCCCACGCAAAATATTGACATACCTACCTATTTAATTCTACTACTCTAAAATACTAATCGTGTGTAATGAAGATTAAATGGAGTCTATACGTCCACAACGTCACACGAGTGCAGATCTGAGATTTATGATGTTAAATAACCCCCGACGTCTTGTAAACGTATATATTGTTTTTTTTTATTATTAAAATAGAAAAAATATACAATCTGTATAACATAATACAATAAGTAATTTAGATAAAATTTTTACCAGTCTTGAGGGAAGGGAGAGTCCATTGACACTACTTCCAATATGAACTTTGATAAAATTAAATTTTTATTTTACATAATAAATGTATTTATAATATAAGTTTTGATTTATTTAGTTAGAAGATCACGTGGCCATTTTCGTTTTAGACGACGGGGAGGGTTGTCAGGTAGGGTTTTAGATGCTAGSTTGGCGACTAGAGGATTAGGATGATTTAGGACATTTTTGTGGAAGTTATTATAGTTGTACAAAGCTAGTGCAGATATCTTTGGAACGTTGAGATCATGGTGTAGGGATCTRTTACTTACATACCATGGGGCGTTTGTGAGGAGACGAAGGTTTATGGATTGGAAAGCTTGGAATATTTTGAGGTTAGACATTTTTGTAGAGCTCCATAATTGGAWGCCATACGTCATTGCCGGGCGTATCAATTGTTTATAAATTAACATTTTGTTTTCAAGTGAGATTTTTGAGCGGAGTAGTTGTCTTAGCTTGTTTAGAGCCACAGAAACATCTTACATTTCGTAATATAATAACAATATAATCTAGTAAAATATTTTCCGTGACAAATAGACTGTCAACTGATCTTATTAAAATGACAAATTATTCATGTTAGCTTCGGTGTTTAATKTAGTATTTCCATTAATTTATAATTGAGAAATTCCTAATCATCTGCCATATGATAAGATAAAAATKTACTGTCAAAATAACGGATAGTACCAAAGAAAAATTCCACACGTAGTTATTAGGRAAAAAAATACTTTATTAATTAATTTGTTAGTACAGTCACAATAAGCAAAAAATTGGGAAAACAAAATCAAAAACATTCGTGTGTTTAATTTATTATTCAATAGCCTTTATTAACCCCTTTTTTCCGATGACTTCACAATATTATTTTTTAGTTCATTGACCCATATTGAAATTAAGATGAAAAATTATCTACGCAAGGTAGGTGGTAGAATATATTTTATGAGGTTATACTTATAATATACCAACTATAATACTATTTGTTGAAAACTTATATACAATACTCATCAGTCATCATCAGTCATTATTTTTTCAGTAATATTAATTGTATCATTTTTGGTATCATTGGTATCTAATAGTAATGTGGACAATAGACATTCAAAAATATTAATAAATTATTACTTTTATTATTATATTTATTTTTAAAATAACATTGACCGTATAAAATACAGTCCTTCATCGAATTATATCRTTTAAATTAAATAGTAAATCTTCAATCAAATACATAATAATATAAGAGTATACAATATAATAATTATAATATATTATATATAAATGTATTATTAAAACCTAATAATATTTCTTGATACTTGACCTATCGTATAACAAACTGTGAAATAACGTCATTAATTCACTTTAAATTAACTCTATACAGAGCATTTTTAATCACATAAATAGCCTAATAAAATTGTATTTTGTTCACACCTTTGCAAAATGTATTGTAATTTAATTTTTKAAATGTTTAATCAAAAATAAGTATACATTTATTGGTGCTAAACGAAGATATCCAAATCAAAAAGAGTCAAATTTAAAACTTGGGATAATTGTTTCATTCTCTCAATAGTAGATRGTTTCGATGAATTTACATTCAGAATGACTACCTAAGAAACCGAGAGCATAGATATTATGGAAAAGGAAATCCTTAAGRTTAAATATCAATTTGGATCAACCAAAAAACTATTTTTAAATCTAGTTTACATTATTTATAGCTCATTAATCTTAAAATGAATAAGACAATTCGAAGACTTGGCTCTTTATAAAGTACAATTTTTGTTTTTAAATTTCTTATGTATAGCCTAAAAAGTTCTACMTAACAATTTTAGGGTTTAATTTCTATAAGTCTGTGGTTTTAACTGTCGTGTTCCAGATAATAACCATACATAAAATCATATAATAAAAATAAGATGTAAAATAAGATCTCCGTTCAATAAAAATGAATGCACTAATTATTGTCATTTTTAGGACTAATATTATTATTTACGAAATTCAATAAAATTTTTAATAAATTTATTAGTAGTAAAATTGATTGATCAAAATGTACAATTGTTTTACATTTTTTATAATGCCTTGAGAATTTGTATGAATACTAAAATACATAATTAATTTTCAACATAAAAACGAAGAATTTTTTATGGAATAATAACTGTAATTACAGATAAAGTTCCTTTAAGTTTTAATTTATTTTTAATTAAAATAAAGCCAAGTAAAATTTTATATTTGCGTGGTATAAAATAGGTTAAAAATTGTTTGATAACGTTTATATTATATACCTAAATATTATTTAGTATTTAATTCATAATATGTATAGAATATTTTATTTTTTTATTAATTATTTTTTTTGGTTTTTATAGTTTATCTCAGCTTTAACTAATTTATAACTTTTGTTAAACAAAGATCAATAATAATAGACTTAATTACGAACAGTCAATTTAAATGATATAAGTAATATCCTTATAAGTATTTATAACTTCATTAGTAAATTACGTATTGTTATGCAATATTATATAATGTTTAAACGAAACCATTTAGATATCCTATTTAATGCATATAAATTCCAACCCGGTCAAAAAACTTATAGTTTTGATTTGAAAAGATAGAATATTTTTTCAAAAAAGCAAAAACAATGAAATAATATCTGACAGAAATTAAATTAGGTTAATGTTGAAGTGATTTAAACAATAACAATAAATTTGACCGGTAATTAAAAATGGTGACGTCTGTTTTATCTATGTTGACAGTAATGAGTTTATAARACAAATATTACCATCATGATAACATTATTTTATTTTATATTTTAATAAGACTAAATCGTTTTCCTAATGGTTGTATAATATGATATTCTAGTATGCAAATATGCAATATGTATAATCCTATAAAATGAGTTTGATTTTATAGTACATAATTTTATAGTAAATACGATGTGRCATTATGACATAAAAATTGATTATGGCCTATTGGTTTAATAATATATAATATGTATGTATAATAATATGTAAAATAATATGTATATGTACAGGAAAACGTAATGATAAACGTAAATCTCGTGATTAGTATACTATTATTGTAATCAATACTATTCGAACATCAAACAAAATGTCAAATGAAGCCATGTTAATACACGTTGATGTAAACTTCAGCAACATTTTAATTATTCCATTTACAATCCTTTTAAGAGAACGTAACACTGTAATTTGTTGTTTCWATCTTTCGTGTGTAACATAGCAAATTTAATTTTAACATATCACGTGTAGCTCCGTTAGTTTAAAAATTAGAGTGAATCGACCTATTTTGAAACATTATCTGTGTTTGTATACGTGGGTTTTTTATGATGGAACAATTTTTTAACAAGTTTTTCGTATGTAAAATAGCATAAATAATATATAATACAAATTACAAACACAGATAATATTCTTACCATCAACTTTAATAAGAGGTCGATTCACTCAAATTTTTAAATTACCTAAAGAAACTACACGTGATGTGCTGAACGTAAATTTCCGATGTTAAGCTCTTGTAAAACGGAAACAACACATTCAGGTATGGTTTTCTCTTAATAACTAGAGTAATCCTATACGAAATTAACATTTCAATATTCACGATGAACAATACTGCAGTATATTTTTTTCAATACGTTCCCTATCTTTTTACGTTTTCGCACTAACAATATATAGAAAGTCATAATTTTGCAATATATAACGACGGAGTCATTGTATCCACGACAAATAATTGACGGTGCTTCTAAAGAAACAGTCGCTCGAAATTAAAATTTAAAGATCGTTGACCGAATAAAATCCAACCATAGTTCTCGTTTAATTCACGGGTTATCAGCGAGCGCGTCGATTATTGACAACATCAACAACAACGATGACTTTAACAGAGAAAACGGGTAACCTGCAGCAGTCAGGTATAAGTGGTTGGTGTATCATTCCACGTTTTTGTAAACGGCACTTTAAAATATTGCTATTATTTATAAAGTATACCGACGTATTTTGCAATATATTTTAACCTATTAAACGCATCGGCGTTTCTGTCACATCGAACATGACCTCTAAAAGTCTAGAATACATCACGTTTAAGTACTTAGATTTTAACCACGAGACACGAAGTATGAGTTTGTCCTCTTAATTCCCATTCGTCTTAATATAATATATTAAGTRTAATAAAATCGAAAGCTAAATGCTGATCTACTAATTACTATACGTTATCCATCGCATCGGTCGATCGCGATGTGCAGACTTTATACGATTTTGTCCTTAAACTACACTTCCGTTCACCCACTTATATTATAATATAMATCGTTGCACGATGTCGATAATTGCTAGGGAGTCGGAAAAATCGCTTCTGAAGCAGATCAATGTTAAGGTATATAATATGAAGTTATACCTTGCTGGTCGAGTTCCAGATCGATGTCGTCGTCGAGGATCCAAGGCAACGATATCCGGATGGTGTGCGTGTCGAAGTACTCGTCGATGGCCGGTCCCAGGGACGTGCTCACCCGTTGCACATGCGGTTTGCTGTTGTGCTGCTGCAGCTTGGACCTGTCTTCGGCAAGGCCTGCCTCCTTCTTCTTGACAATCGTCACGATGTCACCGACCACGTTCAGTTTGTCCCGCTTTTCCAGCCAATTGACGTACACCAGCAAYTTGTCRTCCAAACACACGATGGCTAGGTCTATAACGCAGTCGTCGGTCGACGTGGCGGCGACGGACGCACCRCGGAACGCTAACAGCGACGTGGACGACAGCAGCAGAAACGCCATGGCGGGCGACATATGTGTGACAGCGGCAGCGGCGTGACCGCGACGCGGGTGTTTTGCGAGCCTGGTACACCGCGGTCTGGTAAGCGGCCGGGTAAGCGCCCGAGTCTAGGTATAAACCTGGTTTATAATGTGTGCTACAGTACACGGTATAGTCGGTTGGTTATATACACTCGGATAGCGGCCGGTGGTCGACGGAACGAGACTATGTGGCGATGGCGGCTACGACAGTGACGTAAAAATCGATCCTGGCCACCGCTTTCGCACTGGCGTGGCTGCTGCCCCTCGTCATCCCCCGCTCAAGACAGCCATCGTCGTGATTACTATCGTCGCTGTTATTATTATTATTTTTAGTAGTTGTAGTAGGTAACGGCTGCAGTGTATACCTATATAGTAGTCTAAGCGTCGTCGGGAAATTCGCTGTTTCCCGTGGTCATTTTCCCTCCACGGAGGGGAGGAGTCGGTGTGGGTAGCTGTARGATTGTGGAGGTAGGAGTGCCTCTGCGGTGGAGAGACRGAGAAGAGAAAAAATACCGAGAGAAGAAAAAATAAACACGGTGACTATAACGAATTCGACAATGAACTATATGGGACTAAACACAATATAATATAAACGCGCAGATGCGGCTCGGTGGGAGGAAGAAGGTATATGGTATATAGATTTAGGTAGCCACTGCTGACGGTGGGCGACCAGAGAGAAATAAGAAAAAAATATAGGAGAGTAAAAAAAAAAATCAATGTAGAAATATAATATATAAGTTAAATGGTCATTTGCTTAACTAGTTCACACCGAATCCCCGCAGTGGTTTTTCTACACACGATTTTCGTGATAATTACAAGTCAAAATACATAGCGACCCGCTGCACCGACAGCCGATCTACATATAATATATATATATATATATATATACTACATTATTATGATATAGACAAACGTGCCCAGTCAGTCAGCTGCGGCACATCGTCGTCTCGTTTGTGTATGTGCATTTTTTTCCCGATGGTTTTTTTTTTTTTGTTTTCATTCCCGTCATCATATTCTTATTATTATGCGTACCGCCTATTGTTGCTATTATTTTGCTTACTACTAAGCAACAAAAATCTCATATAGTAAAATCGAAAGTGGCTGTGTAGAGACACACACACACACACACACACACACACACACACATGATCCACATTTTATTATTTTTACAATATTTATCATGATACCACGGTGCTATGCGCTTCTTTGCTATTATAATTATATCGCGATAGTATTGTTATAATATGCATTTATGATGATGATGCGCGATCCATGGWCGTTTGGCGTGATACTGCGTGACAACCGTTTCGAAACCGTTCATCTCGACGTGAGTAGAAGGTATCTATATGATCACATAACAATATTATAATACACCATACAACCCGATTGTTGTTTTTTCTTATATTTTACTTTATTGCAAGCAAATTTTTTTTCTGAGCAAATTCCAGACAAGAGAACATCCGATGATTTAAAACTATGTTTCACGCGATTCCCAAGAGTTAGTTTTTAATTTTCGTGTTCTCTGTTTAATCGTATCAAAGTATTTTGTACACCTTACAAGGTGATGATTCACTGAACATGCTCAAAACTCACCCCTCCATTCTTTTTGTTCTARCATTTATTAAAATTTTGATATTTGGGGTTTTTAAGTTACCATAAATCAAGACATTTTAAAATAGGTTTTTAAATATCTATACTAATAGATTCAATTTTGATCATTTGAGCTGTTTAAAAAGTGTCCTGTATGCTGAATCTAGATCTTTTAAAGGCAATATGAGAAGTACTCTTTTTTAATGTGTAGGTATACCTAATACTGCAATATTGACACGTTGTTAAATATATTTTCTGTGGAAACAATAGAAAACATGTGTAGGTTATACCTATATGTCATATTTAGTTAATTTTTTCAACTACGGCGTAAGCACTTCTTTAGTAGCCGATATAGGGCACCGAAGATTTATACAGATAAATGTACAATTAGATTATTTGCCAATACGTTACCACAGAAATACACTATAAGAAAAATAMGCTTTATTAAAATAAAATATTTTTAAGTGACATATTCGTCCAACTTCTCAACAGTAATTCGAACGACACTGACCTCACGATGACCGTTTCGATTTTTATAGATGATACGTACAACACCAGTCGGCTGATATACATATAWTATGTGTAATAAGTAGGCACATCATAATATTATCGTTTTCGTAAATATCATTATCACATTTTAATTTATCGTTATAATATTATGTGCTCCTTCGACATTGGTTTAAAGCGGTGGCCTACTCAATGAAGTAGCGTGCAACTACATATTTCTATTCATCAACAATATGAAAAAATGTCGACAAGAACTAACCTAATCATTCTATGAAATTTAACTTAATATTTMATTTTTCACTAAAAAAATGTGAAGGTTTCTTAAAAATATAAATTATTGTTTTTATTTATAACCTATCAGAATTATTTATGTCACTACAGTTAAAAAAAAAAATAATATTTTTCTCTTATAACACGTTATAGGTTGTTACAGGTAATAATAATGTGTTTAGTGTACATAGGGTTCTATGGTACCTATATTAGTATTTTCAAAATAKAATGATAATTTATAGGTCTTATTGTCTTATACATACTAGCTTTATATATATAGTCAACAGCTGTTAGCATCTGACCATCGTTATGGGTAGGTATCATAAAATCATAATAATATACAATATTATAATGCTAATAGCTATTATCGTCGTCTTACACGAAAAATTTATCTTAGTCCATGAATAGACGTTGTATAAATTATTGTAAGACGTATATTTAATAGCAGCCGAGACGAATATATCCAGAGCAGGCGACAAGCCCTAATAGAATTGGTGCGTGCTCGATGACGAAACTCGCGAAATTTATTGTTTATTATATAATATTATGTTAACAGAACTAACGTTTTAACGTTCTATGCAGATATATGACTAATTGTACCTAAGTCGTTTTGTGGAAAGAGTCGCACTTCAACGATACATTAAGATGAAATGCTAGTGTATACGGTGACACGTGTATTTCAAAACGACTATACTATAGTCTATAGGTATTATAATATTATAATTGTAAGTAAACAATTTATTATTTATGCAAAAACTATAATAATATTCATAGTTATTAACCACTAAGCCACARAAATTATAATACGCACGCATAATGTTTTTAAAGATGCATTTCGTCATGAGCATGATTTTTGTTCACAGTTAAAAATGTTATTGGTTAAGTACTATAATGTTAACATTACATCAATACTTCAGCTGAACTGTGCGCTGGTGAAGGTCAAGATAGATGGGAGGGGGTTGAGAGGGATAGATTCCCCATGGCCTTTTTTTCAATATTTAATATTTGATAACCATCAATTATATTTTAACAATTAAATAGTGCATGTTAAATCAACTATATCCCCCCCCCGGTATTTTATCGTCACTACTGTGCATCTATTATTTGTCTTTATCAATCCGTTCAAACAAGTGTGTTATCAATCATATTAATGAATATTAATAATTCATTATAATATATATAGTTATATACGCACCTCTATACTTTTTATATATACCATAGTTATTCCAAGTATATATATAATATTAAATAGTCAGTCGTATTGTATCTAAATTCGAGACAAAACTTAAAAATATTTTTTCATACAAATAATTTATGTTAAATTTACACTCCATTTTAAAATCTTGAAGTATTAATACATTGAGGATAAAATATTTAAATCTGTCACTGTAACTATTTCTGATACCTACATCATATTTATAATTTATATGATATTATGGTAATTCAAATTAATAGTTCTGGTTTTAAAAGACAAGGTATAAGTTGTTAAATTTATAAACATTCGCATCTCAAATATATAAACAACTTTACAGTTATAAAATTATTTTAACCTTACGTATAATGAATCTTAAAAATAGTATATATTTTATGAATTTTAAAAACATATAAATAATATTGCGTGTAAGTATAGTAAAACTTATAAAACAGTTTAACAAAGTTGATCATTTTCCATGTCTTCCTTATAAGTTTGAATATAAACTCGTATGCCATTATTTTCTATGCACACGCATTTTGAACAGTTAGGTAAACGTAACTGTAACGAATAAAATCTGTTCTAAGTGTTTTATTCACTAAAATAATTTATTATAACATTAAAAAACAGTATTATTGTTTATAAATATGTTCCTCCAGTTTACTTTGTCAAACCACTCAGAATAATTATTAACGTATTTTAACGACAGTACTTTTATAGTTAAAAGATAATCTAATAAGTAATAACAATTATTAACTAATCTAAATAAGACGTATTTTATTTTTGGTTTCTAGAACATCTGTCAGTTAAAAAATAAATAGTAGGTACTAAAAATGTTTTTAAGCTGATAAAACATSGTTTTAAACTATTAGAGCAAAATATGCTTTCAACATCTGTATTCCAAAATAGGAAAATAGGGTAGGTATATCTATATTATAATATGTGTAACACGTTTATAGGTGAAAGTATGAATAACGGCCAAAATGTGTTCATTTATTCTGCCTGCTTTAAGAGTTAAAACACTTAAAAGTGATGATTTCAGATTCATCTTAGTAAGARCAGGTGAGTAATTTTGAAGAAAAACGCGTGTTTGGATAAATATCAGGATTAATAATTTATATAATATAATATATTATGGTATTAATATTTGTATTTATTTTTTAAAGTTATTGATTGTGCTTATATCCTTGTTTAATTTTTTAATTATTTAATGTAATCTCACCTCACATAGTAAATTTCAACTTAATATCTTATTAAGTCTAACATAAATAAAAATCTAATCCTTTCGAGTTTACACATTTGCATTTTTCTGCAGTACTTGTATAGTTGTATAAATTAATTTAACATTAGAAAATGCATAACTTTTATAAAATAATATATATATATATATAAAGTTCGTGTTGCATGTTATAACATTTTACAATACATGCTGACAACAGTGACAACTACAGTTAGTTAAATTAAAAATAAATACGACCTATGGCTGTAAACGTTTCTTCCAGTTACCCTGTGACTTGGTGGTCCARTGTTATTTTACCCAAGGCCTTTAAGGTTTACCGACCTTCTGAAACCAGTTTTCAAGCCCCTTATTCAAGAACGAGAAATTAAAAATTGTTTGACTAACTAAA